TTTTGCTAACCTTAACCAATTGTGTTTAAGTGGGGTTTATAAGTCGGTGTTCAGGATTATTGAGAAAGTTGTTTTTATGATCTTTAATTGTTATAAAACAATTTTTAAGTTAATTTGTTCAACCCTGTTTTCTAAGTTAAATTTATTGGCTAATATGCCAGCTTCTCTGTTCAACTCAGTTTCTAAATTAGCGGGAGCTTTTTTATAGTACTTAATTACCTCTTTATTAAGCATATTATTATATTTCTTGGCGCTTATCTTGTTTAAAAATTTGGATTTGTCAGCTTTTACGAAAACATTCTTGTTATTTTTTATATCTTTCAGATCTTTGCTAATTTTTTGTTGTATATTATTAATAATCTTTCTATGCCGTATTGTTTTAATTAATCCGATTAAATCTCACTCAGATTTGTCTACTTCCTTAATATGGGGTGGGTGGGCATAGGTTTTAGATGAAGACATTTGGGTTTAATATCAAAAGATAAATATAAGACAAGTGTTCAGAATTACTGCATTTATTTCCTGGTATTTACATTTAGATGTGTTAAACAACTTAGGACATAACACATTTTGTTTGAAACGACCCATTTTTAAAATGAGGAAAACTACTGAAACACGTAACTGACAGGTGTTTCTTGTTGCCGAGGTGTTGCTTTTATTTTGATTGTTTAAACATTAAATAGCTCTGAACGACTACTCTTGGGTTTCACCTGTAAAAAATGTATTTCTTCTTAAAAAGCATAAACCAACATGAAGATGGGAGAGAGCTGTCTATGGGAGAAAAGCAAGCCATTTTAAAGCTGAGAAAAGAAGGAAAATCGATCAGAGAAATTGGACAAACTTTGAGCATTGTCAACACAACAATTTAGAATGTAGTGAAAGAGAAAGAAATTATTGGTTTACTGAAAAAAAGACAGAGAAAGTCGGCCAAGGAAAACAATAGCAGTTGATAACAGACACATTATTTGAGGAAAAAGCCCCCAAAACAGGCAGTGGCATCACAACTTCCAGGGGACAAGGGTGAAGGTTTTGCAACCCACCGTTCGAAGGAGACTTTGTGAGCAGAAATATAAAGGCCATACCACAAGATAGAAACCAATCAACAGCAGTATGAAAAGGAGGACCAGATTGGATCTTGCAACGAAGTACAGTGATGAGCGATAAACATTCCGGAAGAATGATTTATGAAATGATAAGACCAAGATATATCTCTACTAGCAAATTGATGGAATGGCCAAAGTGTGGAGAAAGGAAGGATCTGCTTCTGATCCAAAACATACAATTTCATTTGTGTAGCATGATGGAGTTTAGTGTCTTGGTTTGGGCTTGCATGGCTGCTTGCGGAACAGGCTCATTCATATTTATTTATGATGTAACTGTAGCTAAAAGCAAAATGAATTCAGAAGAGTACAGAAACATTTTGTCTGCCAATTTAAAGAGAAATGTATCCAAAATGTATCCGGGTAGAGGTTTATCATGCAGCAGAAAAATAACAAAAAAATAACACAACTAAGGACTTCATCACGAGAGAAAAGTGGACAGTTTTAGACTGGCCAAATCAATCACAGGACCATAAAACAGCAGAGCATACATTTGAAGAGGAGACTGAAGGAAGAGGACTCTGAAACAAACAGGAGCTGACAGAGGTTGAGTTCAAAATCTAAAAACAAATGCAAATGTTTATCGACGTCAATGGGATGCAAACTCGATGCATTTACTACTAGCAAGTGCAATGCAACCAAATCCTAAATGCTATTTACTTTAAGACTGTTCCTTTACCTTTGCTCACATAAACATGTGGTGACCTGATACAAACGGTGGCATGCCCTAAGCTGTTTAACACATCTAAATGTAAATACCAAGAAATAAATGTAAAATTCTAAATTCTTGTCTCATATTCATCTTTTGAACTTAAACCCAAATGTCTCCAGTGAACAACAAAAACAAACGAATTGGCCTTGCCGTCTCAGTACTTTGGGAGGGCACTGTATTTACATAATATACATATATACATAATACATATATACATAATGTAATATCAACGGTTAAATATATAATATTGCCTGATAAATATGCATATAATAAAAATATGTATATAATTGCCTGACGAGTGGGCCGAACGATTACAAAAAGATTCGTTTATGAAAATCAGGTGACAGGGTGCTGAATATAATATCAATCAACAAAGTGATCAAATTTTATATTATATATATATATATATATATATATATATATATATAATTACTATTATCTATATTTATAGGATAATAGTAGTTATAGGCAGAGAAGGCATAGAAATGAAAGCTGCATTGTAATGGATTTGTCATTCTCAGTGTCACGCTTCAGACTAACATGCCAGTGAAGTGTGAAATTGATAATAAGTAATTGATTCCTATAGATTTAATCTCATGTAGACTGAATATCACATCAATCAGCTAAGTGACAAATTACATTCATTTCTATTAATCTTATATATATATATATATATATATATATATATATATATATAATGAGCTCGAGGTGTCTTAGTGAATGGGCGTCTTCTTTATTTGCCCCAAGAAAGCCATGTGGGTTTTTTTTTAAAAACAAAATGATGTTTATTTTTTATTCATCGATTTATTCTTCTAGGTTCACTGTTTATTATATTATTTCATAATTTATTAACTTTATTTTACATTTATTAATTTTATTAAAATATGCATTTGTTTATTTCGGCAGATAAGTCTTTTTTTTTTTTTAAATTTTTAAAATAAGTGTTATTTAGTGAGTTTACTTTATTATCTTTGACAATAAATCTATTATCTACAGACCTCAAACCCTATCAATGGACTTCGGACGCAACCGACAAAGTCTGCAGGCAATTTCTTTTTTAAATCTGCAGGAAAAAAACTTCCAAAACGTCAGTGATGTATTACAAAATTTGCGGACTTAGCGGAACAAGTCGTATTAGTTCCCAAAGGGGCCGCTTGGCGTCGGTGGTGGGCCTTTCAATTTTAAACAAAGTCGGGTGTACAGTATATAAAGTGCGATACCTTAGAGCGTGCGGGAGAAAGTATCTGTGAGAAATCTATTATTTTTGTTATTTTGATCAATATATCTACATTAAGCCTATATTTATTTATGCCGTATATACATGTTTATAGTATGTGCATTGTGATCATTACTGGTAGTTATTATAGTGGTTTTATAACTCAGAAATAATCCCTTCCCATCTGTGATTGTCGTGGGCAAGATACGCGACATCATGCCCGAAAACGCCCACGCATTGCATGCGTATGGTGCCGCAGAGCAGTTGGAGGAATTGGCGGATTGCGCCTACGCATAAGTAAAACTTTCCCACTCAACCAATCGGCTGCTTCGACATGGTCTATAAAATGAGTGTGTCTGAAAGCTTAGGCAGTCGGGCTCGAGAGAGGCAGCAGCAGCAACAGCAGCAACAGCAACAACAACAACAACAGCAGCAGCGACGACAACTGTCGTGTACGAGAGACGACTGCCCTGTTCTAGCGGGTCTTTTTTTATGTGACTGCTGCACCACCAACGGACAATCAGCTTTAACGGACTACCAATCCCCCTATTAATCCGTCGATAAAAGGATTGCTTGCATGTATATTCTTATTGATTAATTTCTATTACGTATCATTTAAACGGAAATTATTATAATAATATTAAGAGGTTCATGTGAGGATGAACTCTTTATTCCGACCGTCAGTGTCAAATATATATGCGTATATGTGTGTATCTTTCTTTGTAAGTATGTATGCGCATAGATTTTGTGTATATATGTATGTGCATATGTAAATGCATCGTGTGGAGACCTGTATTTCCTCTCAGGATAAGGACCTGAGAAAAAATAAGCCTGGGTGCCTCCGAGCTACCAACCCTGAAGATTAAGACCACTCACAACCCGTCGTCTGTTTTCGGCGTTCTGCCTCGACGTGTGTTGCTACTCGAAACGCGTGTTGTACTCCTTAACAATAAAATCCCCTTAATTGTTCTCTTATTTGGCTTCGGCTTTTCGCTGGACATATAGTTGTAGGGATGGAGAAACTATCTATCTATATCTATATATATATATATATATATATATATATATATATTAGTGAACATTGAAATCAACACTTAGAGGAGTCAGGCTATTTTACGCTAGAAGCAATCGTAGCCTTACAATAGCGTCTAACATGAAACAGCCTGTCGCCTCTAAGTGCTGACTTCAATGTTCACTTTTATATTTACACACTCTCTATCTCTGATATTGAGCACTTTATCCCATAAATATAGCAGACCTTAAGAGTATATTTCTTCATATATATGCAGGGTGTCCATAAAGTTCGTGTGCACTTTAAAAAATTTATAACTTTATTTGTATTTGCGATAGAAATAATTTGTAAAAAGGATTAGAAAGAAGTAAATCTATGTTTTTTAAAGTTTTATTGAAAGTTTATAAAAATTTCCACATGTCCTCCATCATTAGCAATACAAAGGGTAATACGATTTTGCAGTTCACGGAAAACATTTGCCAAATGATTTACAGTAATGCCTGAAATCACATTAGTTATTTTAGATATACTTAAAACTAGGTACATTAATCTTTATAACATTTTTACTGATTATTTCTATCGTAAAGACAAATAAAGTTATAAATTTTTTAAAGTGCACACGAACCTTATGTACACCCTATATATAAATGTATAACATAAGTATGTTAAACTGCAATCTATGTGTGCAGGTATCTCTTGGCATATTCCACAGCGATGGAGCGATACAAACGTGTACAGATATAACCAGTTGGAAATACGTAGTTACGAATCTATACGTAGTCGACTCCTCGAGACATAACCTAACGTCACTCAACTTTTGACCGAATACGAACGTGATTCGACGGAATCCTTGATCGACTGAGCAATTCTCTTCAGCGATTTACTGTTTACTAAATAAAGGTAGGTAGCTGGAATATCAGAACACTTCTTGACCGGAAGGACTATAGTAATCCTAAACTTGAGGTCAAATCACGCTGAAACACCGGTTCTCGTACGATCACCGAAGTTAAGCATTTTAGAGCCAATTTGGGGTACTTAGATGGGGGACCGCTTGGGAACACCTGGTACTGTAAGCCCCCAAAAGTAAAACCTTACCTCAGAGTCGGTGGGGAGGGTAAACGGTAGTATAGATTTCTGCCGCCCGGAACTTTCGTTCCTGGTGGAGCCACCCAAGGCGGACAGGTTGACACACACACGCCGGCTAACAAGGGCTCTGGTGAAAATCCAAGGAGCGTCTGCATCGGTAAACCGGCGGCTAATTGGTCGTTCCTGTCTCTGCGTCTGTGGGAACCCCGCGGCAAGCAAGAACGTTATCCGAGTACGCCTGGTACCCTACTTTGTATAATTTTATCCCAAGAATCTTCTTCTATAACAGGAAGAAGCCGGCTCAATATATATAAGGGTGAATGCCGCATCAAAAAAAAAAAAAAAAATCCTAAACGTTGTACTGGTATGATAGCGAAGGAATTGGCTCGATACGATATTGATATAGTTGCACTATGAAACTTGGTTGATTAGAGTGGACGAGCTGACAGAATCTGGGGAGAGTTACACTTTCTTTTGAAAGGTAATCCCATGAGCGAGAAACGTAAGTAGGGTGCTGACTTTGATGTTACTACTGAGTTGACCTAGCGTCATGAGCCGACTCAAAACATTAGTGAGAGAATCATGTTCATTTATATAACCGTCTTTTCCATTTATGCACCAACTGTCACCAGTTCTGGGGAAACTATCATAGCTTTAGTTTTTTTTAGTTTTTTGTTTTTTTACAGTAAGATTTTCCCTGCACAAGCCCCGAAGCCACTCGACGTTCAGAGTTACGGTAAGTGGCAATTTGTGCGAATAGGAGGGTAAGATAACAGAATTCAACAGGTTAAGACTATAGTGATCAGGGAAACATCCTCTTGCGAGTTGGTTCCACAAGAGAAGATAAAGAAGCTGTTGAAGTGGAACTTACTTTCACCGATTGAATACAGAGGGAATGCGGATTGTTTGCAACAATGTCAGTAGCATGGCGTGACATTTTCGTGACTGTATGGACTGGGAGAACAAAGGGGTGTAGTTTGTTCGAATTATTTTCCGTGGAAGTAGCGATTGAACAATGTGAGGCTTGCCACATATCCGCCTGGGGGTGAGAGTTTGGAGGGTGGGAAATAATTAGCCACCGACGGTTCAGAAAAACTTTTGAACTCTATCAGGGTAGCTACACTGGACAAGAAGTCGAGGAGAGCCATGGTTGTCGACGGAACGCCATATAAATAAGATGGAGAATCAGTGACTAATCAATTTATCGATTTTCAGTGAATGGATGCCTTAACAAGAACAAATAGTTTCTAATATTATTATTCACCCACTACAAGGCCCAAAAGCCACTCAAGATAGTGTCTTGTCTCTTACAGAACGAGTTTGCTGTAAATGTGTACAAGGATATATATATATATATATATATATATATATACAATCTGTTTATCCATCTATCTATCCATCTCATATATATATATATATATATATATATATATATATATATATATATATATATATATATATATATGTAATGACAGAAAATGATTTCTCATAAAGGATATACTTCCGGAATATCACACAAATATTACGCTTTGTAACGGTAGACAGAACTCAATGTGTAGCGCGCATTAATATAAAATAGAATTCGAAGACTTACTAGTTTTAGCAGATATAAATATCCAGAACCTGTATGTATATATATATATATATATATATATATATATATATATATATATATATATATATATATATATATATATATATATATATATATATATATAATGTTTTAGTGGATTTTTGAACAGTAAAATTAATAACAATTGATCGAAATTGAGAAGTCCTATGAAACAATAAAAAAATTGTCGCGGAATAATTCATAATATTATTTTAAAAATTATTTTATATTCAGTCCCTGTCAACTTTGACATTGAGCCCTCTACGATATGCTAGAAGGCCGGGTTCCTTAAATAATCATTTTAGGTCTGGTTTGAGATGTAGTATTTCCCAGCGACATTTGATTATTTGGGGTAGTGGAGGCAGAGTGGGATTGAAAGTGGTTACTAGATGTATGCGGCTAGATTTATTTTTAATCTTGTACATTAGGGTGTCTTCTCTAGGTGTGGAAATTGCTTTATTTATTTGTTCCCTGATTAGGTGTTGTTTATAGCCACGTGCAAATTGATGCTCCAGATTTTCAATGTGTTTATTTAATTCTTCATTGTTGGAACATATCCTTCTGAGTCTAAGTGCTTGTGAATAGGGAAGGTTCTCTTTGAGGTGTTTAGGGTGGTAAGACTTAAAGTGTAGATAGTTGTGGGTGTCAGTGATTTTAGTGTGTAGCGTCGTTCGTAGTTTCCTGTTTTCATCTATGTAAATGCGGGTGTCTAAAAATGTTACTGATGTTGTGGATTTTTCATAGTCAAACTTAATTGAGTCGTGCACTGTGTTTAGGGTCATAAGGAATTGGATAAGTTTGACATTACTGCCCTTGTACACAAAGAATATATCATCGATATATTTTGCATAGAATACGCAGTCGCTACCAATGATTGGATAGATATGGGTCTCCTCAAATTTTCCCATGAATATTGTAGCATATGATGGAGCTGCAATGGTGCCCATGGCACAACCTCTTATTTGAAGGTAGTATGCTCCATTGAAGTTGAAAGTATTCAATGTGAGAACATGCTCCATGAGTTTTATAACTTCTGTGGGAGGTCTTGTTTTCTTCTTTTAGTAAGTTCTTCCTGAAGGGCGGTTAGCCCTCTGATGTGTTTAATGTTTGAATAGAGTGAACTCACGTCTATATTTACTAGAATAGCATTCTCCGGAACTATTTGTATGTGATTAATTTTGTTTAGTAGATCTATTGTGTTTCTGATGTAGGATTTTACTTCCTTATCTAGGGGTTGTATGTAATGGTCTACATATTTGGAAATTTTTGTCGTGGGGCAGTTGAATGGTGAAAAGACCGGCCTTGCTGGGTTTTTGTTTTTGTGTATTTTAGGAAGGAGATAGAAACGAGCAGGTGTAATGTTTGTGGATGTAAGTGTTGTGCACGTTTCCTTGTCGATTAGATTGTTGCGAAGCATTATGTTTAGTGAGTTAGTTAATTCTTTTTGGTATTCGGGAAGGGGATCTGTAGGTAAGCTTTTATAGGTTTCTTTGTCGGCTAGCTGTTTGTTGGCCTCTTTAATGTATTCTTTGATTACCTAGGCCACTGTAGCACACCCTTTGTCAGCCTGTGTTATGATTAGGTCATCTCTATGTGTCAGCGTGTAGAGAGCTATACGTTCCCCTTCAGTAATATTGTTACGTGGCAGCTTACGCGCTATTGTTTTCTTTATGTCATTTGCTACGGCTAGTTCAAATGTCTGTATAGTAATGTCTGTATTTTGTGGGGTGTAGGTAGTATCCTACTCTTTTAATGTATCAAGTATGGATGGTGTGTGATCATTGACTCCGTAGTGAGCTTTTAGCCGTATTCTTCTGAAGAAGGATTTCAGATCTTTTGCCAAAGTGTCTTTATATATATATATATATATATATATATATATATATATATATATATATATATATATATATATATGTGTGTGTGTGGAGGAGTAGATAGATAGATAAGACTTTCTCTAACTCTTTCTCTGTCTATATATATATATATATATATATATATATATATATATATATATATATATATATATTTATATATCTATCTATTTGTCTGTCTATATATATATATATATATATATATATATATAGTTTAAGAAAAACTAGGTAATCCGTATGGGTAAACCTAAGGAGGATAAAATCCAGAGATCTCAATGAAAGTGGTCTGTTTTATTTTAAATTATATATATATATATATATATATATATATATATATATACAGAGACAGACAGACCCACTCAGATTTGGGGACGAGGGCTGATATCAAGAGAGAGTGGGAGAGAGAGAGAGAGAGTGAATAATAAGTAACGATGTTAAAGAGAATGTTATTTCGCATTTTTATTCGAAGATGTTTCATCAAACGTTCCGAACACTCCCCGCCATAGCTGATTACAACTGTCTTATGACATATGTCGATTTCAAAGATTAAAAACTCCATACATTTCTACTCCTCTATACTTATAACAGCTTTAGACATAAGATAAATAAATAATCACCAATTATTATCCTTTCAAAATTATAATAGCATTTTATATACTAATATATTTGCAAATATCTACTTCCGAAGACCTGCTGCGATGAATGCATTTAGCAATTCAATCATATTAACAAACAGGTTCCTTTAAAATTTTCTTTCTCTTCCATTTTTTCACAATATCCTATCCTTTGTTTCTCTTTGTAAATTTTGTCTTTTCTCTCTCGTTCCAATATCCTGTTCTGTCATTGCATGTACACAACGTTGTTTGTTAGGTTACTCGATGTTTCCCGCTGTCCTACTTGCCTTTAGTATGCCCTGTGTGTGTCATATTCTCTTATCACTCTTTCGCATAATTTGCCTCATGGTCTGTGGCTAAACTGACAACCTTACCCACTTTAGAGGAAGCGAGAAACATGGTTAACAAACATGTTGGACGGAAAATAAGACCCTATCAAATGGCAGAAGAACACTTAATGTGTCCACCACCAGTTGTTAATATTTCAGTAAAGGAAGGTAAACAGAAACCACTCCCAACAGCCGTCATTTGAAATATAGGATAAAATTAACAGACAAGAAGAAATTTAATATTATTATCAGAGGTTCATTCATATGTTGTGGATGTGTGGTGGTGTAATGCAAAGCGACTCGGAATCAGAATTTAAAGAACGGTGTTCGAATTTCAGTAACATTCAATCGCAATAAAAAAGAATTGTTTTTGCAGTTTCAAATGCGTTTCGTTTTTAAATAACTGACATGGTGTTGGTAAATCGTAAAAAAATTAAATTAATCAATCAATTCTACTGAGTTGAAGCACAGACTTCCCGACGCTTGGATTGAACAGAAAATTATTATTTCTCCAAGTATTTCAGTTTTCATTGAGCCAATTTGTAAACCTCCTGACAAATTCT